GCTATCATAGTTGGCTGTGAGGATAATTGCTGTGCTTTTGGGTAGTAATCTTCATGCAGTGGTGTAGGATTTCTTACCACACCAGTTTGCAAGTACCCTCTTGTTTCCTTACTTTTTTTCCAATTCAATCCTACTATTTTCCCATTTTTAATGTTTTTTTATTTACTTGTTTCCATTCTTTTTTCTTAAATAAGAAATTACATTCTGTTATGATTCTGTGGTTAGGTTAGTTATATTCATGCTGATCACGTGCGCATAAATTAAAATGGCGTCAAACCACAAACCCATGCGGTGGCTGCAGCTAGTGATGGGCGATATGGCCAATTTTCTTAATTTTCGATAACGATCGATAATGGACTTTTTCAGGAAATATCGATTATTAACGATACGATAACCACACCTTCATTTTGGGGGTGTGTCAAGGGTGTGGCTAATGATTTTAGCACAGATATAACTGTACTGGACATGAGAGAAGATCATTTCTTAATCATTTCCATGCTCTTGAGCTTGGTTCTCTTCCTATTGAAGTAGACTGAGCTAACAATTGGTCAGTTGCTTCTTTCTTGCAGTTCAACAGTGCAATTAGTTATTAAAATTAGTTATTTAACCTTAATAAATGGGCGTGGTCAATAGATCGATGAAAATTGCATAAAATTTTCGATGATGATTCAAATCGATTCCGTAAAATATCGTTTATATCGATAAAGAATCGATATATCGCCCATCACTAGCTGCAGCTGGATTTTGCCTTCTATTTTGTTCTCTGTCCTCGCTTCTTTTTGAAACTACCTTTGTGATCCTTGACCCAAGCCCAGAAGAGTGATGTAAAAGGCAACTTGAGCGGTTCTCTGGATTAAAAGATTATCCGGTGCATAGAAGAAGATGAAAGAAGAAGAAGAAGAAAAAGTCTGAAGAATTTTGTAGAAATTTGAATTTGGGCCTGTTTTCCAGAAATGCTCCCGCTACATTACAGTTCACTTTAAAGGTACCAGGAGAATCGCTCAGTGAAGGAGAGCTCATCTAAGCCATTTATAAGGCTGTGCAACGTAAGATAAAAGAGTTATGAGTGTTTGAAAATCATAAAAACGGCCGCCATCTTGAAAAATCAACCTCAATCCTACATATAGGCTACCGCCTATATAATAAATATATAACATTAGTTACTTCAGCATGTCTTATTAATACAATTCTTTTAGGATAAGATTTTAATGAGCATCTTGATTTAGCCTCGTCCAACCTATAATAATAAATAAATAAATAATAATAATAATGTCTATGTACTCTTCCAGTAGACAATCGATTTAGCAGCTGGCAGTATTCCTGACTTCCTCCTCAGTAGAGCTCCATTTGTCCAGAGGAAGGGTGTGTGTCACTCTTTATATCTGCTCTATAAAGAGGTGATTTTGGTCTTTCGGTAACTGGAGGAGATCATAAAGGACTTGCCCAGTTGTCCCGCTTGTTATCTTTGTCTGTAGCAGACGGTAACGGCATCACTCATGATTAATTTTATAACTAAGCACAAGTAATTAAGTTTTATTAATAATTTCAAGTAACCAGCCCCACTCATACATTGTAATAATAAAAAATCTAATAAATCAGTGTACATGCAGGATGAGGCAATAGCTCGGACTGTGCAGTTAATTGGTTATACCAGAAGTGTTGCACCTATAAAAATAATCTGATAATAGCCTATCATTAATTGTCATGTACCATTATCATTAACGTCTTCAGGGGGAGTAGCAGTCTCAGTCGTTACCCCTTAAAAATAAGAATCAACCGATATTATCATTGATAATGTATCCTTACTGTATCTTTGGCGAAACCAGGCAAGAAAATTAAATAACCCAACAAACTCATAAAACCTGTTCCTACTTATGTAGCTGTTGCCTAATAGAGGAAATTAATATAAGTTTTAATTCTGTTTAATACCAGCATCGTTTTCATTCCTTGTGAATGAAGCAGACAACCCCAAATAGGAAATAATACCACAGAATGAAGCAACAAAGGCATGACAACATGCCTTTAATTGATGACGATAGTCTCCTAAAAATTATAATGAATCAATGTTAATTATACCCTATTAATTTTATTTACTACTTCTATTCAAGTGGCGTATAATACACAATGTTAATCTATCATAGCTATAGATGACATGATGTCTAATGACTCCAAAATATTTGATGATGAGTCCAACAATAGCAACAAGGAGTCCAACAACAATGAATGCCATAAAGGCATAAGAACCTGCCAACTGTTCTTGGGGCACTAGGTCACCATCTTTAATGCTTACAAAAGTAGATAAAATAGCCATTTTATTACCCTTGGGTAATAAAATGGGCAAGTATGGGCAAGGGTATATTTATTATTATTAACTATTACCACACCCCATTGCATTATCGGACAAATACTAGGCCGTAAAATTAGATGACGTAGTTGCAAAAACATTTGTACATACCTACATCCATACATGTCGTGCATGATGCATACACTTATAGCAAATGTTTATGATGACAACTGCATGAATATGCATTACATTCAATATGCTAAATAGAATTGTGCACTATCAAAAACAAGTGTATCAGTTCGCTGCCTATCAGTGTCTAACAGGTACATGTACATTTGGAAGCATTGAACTTTAGCAATAAACAATACACAATGAAATTTGTTTCATAAACATATCTTTCCTACAGAAGTCAAAGATGTTGCAAATGTCTTTACATTCACAATACATGCAAATGTTAGTAAATGCACTGGTAAAGGAAGAAAAAATTGGGATAATTTAGCAATCTTATAAGGTATTCTAACAAAATTTGATTATGTCTATATATAACAGACAATTAAGTGAAAAAACTAGCAGAAACAAATTCAACTTACACTTACCTAACAATAACTTACTAAAACACTAATAGCTTATCTGACAGGTTATAGCCGATTAGACAAAAAATGGCTGAACTAACAAATGCCAGGACGTGTAGGATTACTATTATTACAATGGTATGTGTAGGATGCATGATTGAATTGGTAAATTTTCGAGGTAACTTTAAAAATTTGTAAAAAATTCAATTTTGATCGGAATCAGCTCAAACTTTCTACACAACATAAGTACATGTATATGCATCAGGAAATGTAATAAAAATGGAAAATTCTCACCTTGTCATTTTTGATGAAAATTGGCTAATGACCCTGTACTATAGTACAGGGACTTCGGCCCGATTTTGGAGTAATTTTAAAAGTTCATAAAATATCCAATTTTAAGGGAATGACTTTAAAGTTTATACAAAACATAAAAACTTGAGGATGTA